TTGCTTTGCAACAGATATGGGAGGGGGACTTTATAAAAACTTGAAGCATTGGGCATCATAGTACTTGTCATGTACGAAAGTGCTGTAGAATCCTAGAAACCTACATCTAAGTCTACTGAAATGAAGAGTTCTTTTGTTTATTGAAGCAAAGTTCATCTGTATGTGGCTAAAGAGTGCATCCTGGGCACTAAGCAGAATTGTCTTATTTGGATTCTTATTTCCTGGAATACACTTGTTTAACATATTGGATAATACAATTATAATTAATAAATATTCTGTACAGTCTCCACACTTTGGAACTTGCGCACTAAGTGAAATTTATTTTTATATATGGTACTTCATTGTATACCAATAAGTAATAGAAGGATGCCTTTGGTCTAATGTCAGGTGCTAACCTCAATCTTTCCCACAATCTTATTTCATTTATTTATTCAAAGTATGCACATGAAGAATGGTAAGAAAACGACTTTATAATCCTTTTAATCCTGTGATCACACTCAATGGATTAAAGATGATAGAGTGAAAGCTACTGAGAATATTAAGAACACTACTGGGAAAAGTATAAAATCCTCTTCATTCCTTTTTAAAATGTAATCTTTACTCAGTGACATGAAAAGTGCATTTCTTGTTAACTGAAACATAGAGCTGCCAAGCTTGCTCTGAGTATCAATGCCATGCAAATGTTCAAATGGCTCTCTGTAAAGAAACCACTAAACTAAAGTAGTCTGAAGACTACTGATAAAAGTATAGTACTTTTAAAAAATAGTACAAGTCAGAAGACGCAAACAGGAACTGCTGGTTAGTGTATGCGGTGGAAAGACAGAAGAAGAATCACGAAAGAAGTGTGTTTCTCTGCCACTTTCATGTGACAATCCACATCAGTCTTTCATCAGTTCTTCAGGAGGCGTATATAAACCTTTGCTGTGGGGAGGTGAGAGGCACTTGAATTGTTTCTTGTTCAGTACCAGACTGCTGGACAGCTCCCTGCAGACAGCATTGCCAGCCTGTTTCCTTCTGTTCTGAACAGAGAAAATACAGTACAATTGCCACCATGCAGCCAGCAATGATGATGTTCTCCAGCAAATACTGGGCACGACGGGGCCTTTCACTGGACTCAGCTGTGCCCCAAGAATACCCATCACCCAGGAATGTAACTGTAAGTATACAGAATTTAAAGATACCAAATCATCATTATCTTGTCAGATTGTTTCAGAAATTTTCAAGCATTTCCATATGACTGTTCTTTGGGGCCCTTTTACTGAACAAATTTGCTTGCTTGTTTGTTCAGAAAAAGGTTAGGCATCTCCCTTTCTCTCTGCAACACAGCTGTCTGAGTACAAATAGTTAAAGATTTTACAGAAGACATACATTTTTGAGATAAATCTTTAACTCATTTGACTGTATCCTTCACTTTTGTGATAGATGTCCTTAATGGTGGAATTTAACCCAGTGTTTGTGTTGAAAACTCACTTTCTCTGTTTTGCAGTATTTTAAAATGTATGTTTTCTAGCCTCTTACAGCAACTTAGAAATATAAATTCATTTGGATTTGTGAGATTTTCTTCCATGGAAAGCTAATTGAATTTAGATGTGGGATTTTTTAAAAACTATTGAATGCTTCGTTGAAATCATACAACATAATGGTTGGCTATCACTGCTGCTACCATTTAAAACCAAAGAAGAAGGATACAATACCTCAAACTATGTGAATATGCTGTATACTACTATTATTATAACAACGATTAATAATTAGATGTAAAGAAAGTTTATGATCTGGCCCTATATTGACAGGATAATCAAACTTTTCTTGAAAATTTAATTATACTTCTTTGGGCTTATTTTTATACATAAAAAGTAGACATACAGGAAAAACAAAATCATCTACTTTACCATGATACACAGCTTTTGCTATAGTATGTTAAAATGCTTAACCTAAATAAAGGTTGAAATTCTACATGTTATACATTGTTTTCTCAAATAATTTAAGATTAAGAAAGCTGGTATTTGCTCTCTGACTTTTGAGATATTCATGTCTCAGTGTTATTTCTCTGTATGTGTTTATACCTATACGTATACCTATATCTATTTCATGGATGATGATGATGATGATGATTCCTGGAGCAGCTCCATCTGTGGCTGTTTTCAACTTAACAATGCACAACTATACTGAGATGCTCATTAAGTTTCCTCCCCAAACTGGCTGGATGTATTTTTTATAGAATGGGCTTCTGCATATAAGGCCTCATATTGTACACAACTGTAGGCGTCTTATCACATGCAATTCTTGATTACAAGTGGTTTGAGATATCGAACTTTTAGCTTTTCCCAGAAAATACTTCATTTTCATAAAAACTAAAAGTGCCACATAATTTTTCAGTTGGGTTAAGGCATGCAAGGTTTGAAAGGCTGTTATTGGGTATATTAAAACAATTCACCAAAATATATATTTATAGCATTTTAGTAGGTTTTTAAAATATCGCTTTATAATCACTCAGTTTCAGTAAGTTCTTTTTTAAAGCCAAGTGTGCTTTTGTACAATTACACAGTCTAGCACAAATTGGTCATTTAACAGCAGCTATTCTGTATAATAAACCTGTAAATTTGATTAGCAATACAGGTTCTTGTGAGCAAAAATCACACCTAAATAGCATGTTTTACTAGTTAAGATCTCTACTCCTAATTTCTATGCTGCCTTTCTTGATCTTCATGTTTTCAGGTGATGCAGTAACAAAAGAGATAATCACAATTCTAAATGTTGTTTGGAATGTGGTAGGAAAAAAAGCAGGAATTAATATTTAGGAATAACCAAAATATGAAAATTAATTTTTCATTTAACAAAACCTGCCCTCACTGAACTTGTCTGACCAACCAACTAACTGCAGGCAGGAAGTGAAGACTTGTTGACTAAAACTTACTATTGTCAGTCTTTTTAAATATAAGCATATTAATATATGATTTAAGTCACATTCCTTTTATTGAGCAGTATTTAATTATTAGATTTATATCCTGCCTTTCTTCCAAGAGCTCAAAGTGACATACATAGCACTTATTCCAATTTTTCCCTACAGCAACTCTGTGAGGTGGACTGGTCTGACAGAAAGTGAGTGGTGCAAGATCACCCACTGAGCTTCTAAAACTAAGAGTGGACTTGAACCTGGGTTTCCCTGGTGCCAGTGCAGTACCTTAATCAATACTTCACACTGTGCCTGTATGCTCTATTGAAAGATGGGCAACTGGACCACACACAGCCTTGGAGCTCTTCTATGTACCCCTTTTAGTATCCTTTGACTTCTACCACTGAAAAAGTTTGTCATAACTTCTCACCATTTTGAATCAGGAAACATCTTAACAGTGTAATGCAAGCCCTACCATAGGCTTAACAGAATTTTAGCAACATACCTCACAGCAAAGAAAACTTAGCCCCACCCACTTTGCATAAATATTCTATCCACTCTGGCACTTAAGCTAAAAAAAATATTATTTGTGGCCCTTGGCCACTTGAGGATTTCTAGGATTTTATCGTACCTTTAAGAAGAACAATGGGCGCTATTAAAAAACAAAAAAAGAGAAGGTGTCCAATACTTTCAGATGATATCAGTTACACAATTGCAGTAACATCTGTCATTTGGCTAAGTACAATAGTTTACAATTGTCTGCTCTTCATGTTAGTTTACTGCAGAACTAACTGTAATGTTCTGAAGATGACTGATATGCTGAATCAGTTTATTATTCAACAATATGCCTGATAATTTCTAGCACTCTAAATATATTATCTTGAACTGCAGTTAAGGAACAGCAACTATTTAAAAAAGTCAGGTGGAAGCTCCAGAAACTTCCACACCCTTCTCTTGTAGTTATGTGTGCTTCATGCTTGCATTTGCAAATGCAAAATGATATGCAAATCCATAGATACATTTCTGCATCTTTAACACATAGGCACACGGAAATACATGCACTTTTCCCCCTTCCTTTCCCCCTTCCTTTCTTAGCGATGTTGCACTCATAACTTTTCAAACCATAACAAACCATAATCAAAACTAAAAGCACAGACACTGAAATCCACAAATAAAAATGATGAAAAAATCAACAATTAAACTATTTTACAAGGTATGTTTTTAGGACTTTTTAAACAGTAAACAAAGAGCTTGGGCTGTGAACAAAACTCAGAATCTCCAAAGAGTTGTGGTAGCTACAGAGAAGTTCAGCCTTAAGCTGCCAAGACAGAAGCTTGCAGTAAATGAAGGTGGACCTCCTTACACACCTTCAGTGAGTGTGTGGTTGTATCCATGGGTGGAATCATCTAGAAACAGGCATTCTCACAAGCCCTGTAAGGTTTTAAAAATAATAACCACTTCTTCGAATTTCATTCAGGGAAAAAATGGCAGCCACTTTTAAGCTTTCAGCACAGAAATAATATGATTTCTTTGCTTATTTTAAATAATATATTTCTTTGATTATTTTGACTGCTGATTTATGCACAAACAGAAGTGCCACAGTCAAGGTACAACTGAGTCTCATCACTATATCACACAAGCATCCACCCCCTATTAATTTGTCTATTTATCTGGCATCAGCAGGAGAATATGATCATGAGAATAGTGTTGTGAGAAGAAGGTTGAATTTCCCCTCTCTGTGATCCTGTTCTAGCTGCTTTTTTTTTTTAATATATTAAAGTTATAGAAATGGGATAAGAACTTTAAAGTTTGGGCAAATCTGACCCTTATTTGGGGGCTACTACTGCTGCTGGTTGTCTTTTGGAAAAGTATCAACAATGTAGATTGTTTTGCTCCTGAAACAAAATAGCATAGTAGTTAGTTTTTATTTAATTGTAGCAGAAATGGATAAACCTAGGGTAAATTGATGGAAGTTGGCCTGTTCAGGTAGAAATCCTTCAAATGACTTGAATGTCTGTCTTCCATTTGGAGGATTACATGCAAGCCATATGACAATTGGAAACATTTCTGTTTAGCTTAATGCATAATGCAGCATCTGTTTGGGAGGCACAATTGGACATAATTTCTCAACTTGTATACCTTTTATGTACATACAAAAATATGTATGGCTGTCATGACAACTTGCAAATCTTTTGCAGGTTATGTGTTCCAAACAAATATATTTTCTGGGATTATTTGTTATATTTTCAGTGAATAGATTTTTTTATTATGGTCAATGACCACAAAATCTCAGTAAAAGAGTCTTTGTTTGTATTGTTTTACTAATAGTAAAAGAGATCTGTTTAATCTTTAAATAAACATTAAAATGGTAGTAAAATACTAAAACCAAGATAAAAGAGTTCATTTTGACAAATTCTACATGCAGTAAAACAGAATTTTGCAACACAGGGAGAGATTATATCATTCTGGTCAAATGACAGTAAATACCAAAGGTAAAATTAATCTGTGCAGCCTGTAACAATTGCAATCTATTCAAGGTAATTGTCAGAGCTTATGTGTCCCTAAGAACCCTACAATTTCTCTATCCTTCATGCTAACCATACTTGAGCAACAATAAGTAACGGCTTTCAGCAGGTTTTTAAAAATCCTTCATATATTAGCTGTCTTATATGATTAAGGGAATTCATTGATGTTAATGGAAATAGCCCTAATGAGTATCCTCAAGTTAAAGGATACTAAATTCTTATCAACCAGGACTGAAGAGTCCTAATTCAGACATATTGCCTCTTCACGTTGTTGATGCAGATTGAAAAATGTGGAGATTTATGGCTTGCCTCTTGTAAATTCACTGAGAAGTGATAAGAAAAGAAACAGAGATATGAATGAGAAAGGAGATTATATTGAAGAAACCAAGAGCGGAATGGTAGAAGGGAAGGTAAAGGAGAAGACTGACATGCACTTTACAAAGCAGCAAATCCAGCTTCACTACTCAGCATTCTCTTGACAAGGAGCCTCATAATTACAGCCCCCTAACAAGGTTATCTGTATAATCATGCTTTTTAGTGGAAAGATAGATCTACAGATTTTTAAATTGAAAGTAACTCTAATCCTTGGAAAAGATATTCAAATGATGTGTCTGTACCTACAAAGATCATAATTGTGCAGGCCATGGTATTCCTTGTGACACTGTATGAAAAC